TGGCGGCTTTCTCTATGACATCACAGGGTGACTGGGGGGGGGGTGTGCGGGGGTTAAGAATTCACAGGCCTGTTGGTTCCAAATTGCTGATGAAATTTAAGGAGCGAGAAGCGTTTTCGATAGGAAGGGGCCGGCGGCAATTCACTTTCATTGTAACGATTTGTTTTACTGTAACCGTTTGCCGGGGAGAGGACGCAAAGTCTTCTCCGTCATACGGCGATTCGCGGCTATGCCGGGCACACTTATTTCTTTTTTTTGGTGTGCCAACCTGATCTCAACTAATGGCTACAAACTCGGCTTCAGAGGACGCAGCCGGTACAATTGAGCGCAACTTTTTTGCGTGGTGCTTTTTTTTCTCAGGCAAGAACTTGTATCGAATGTCTTTCTATATGACCACCGACGCGTCCCTGATACAAAGTATTTCCTTCTGTGACGGCAAACAGATCGGAGATAGAAGAGAAAAGAGAAAAAAAGGGGCATATTTATAATCTGCCATTCAGCCAACATTCTCTGCAGGTGAATCTTCCAGGTCTACGTGTCTTATATGACAGTGTATACACAGGGGCGCCCCGAGGCCGGATGTCACCCGAAGCGGAGACCGGGTGACACCCTGCAGTGACGTCATCGTGCGCGCGCGGTCATCTAATTGACGCCTGAGGTATGCCGCCGGGTCCCCTCCTCTCTCCTAACACTGTCGCGCTCTCGGTCCATTCAGAGGGGGTGACAGCAAAATTATTGTCGGTCATTTTGGGGTCACCCCTCTAACGGTGTCACCCGGGTGTGGGCTGCACCCCCCTTGTGACACCACTGTGTATACATACTGGAATGATTTAACAAAAAATACATTGGGACTTTATGGGATCTGGTACCCCGAAAAGAACCAACCCCCCCAAATATACCTACAATGGGCCATCTTAAATGACAGTGATCGATTCTCCAGCAGAGAATGTTTGGTGTAAATCGAAGTCACTGGTTATAAGGACCCTCAACCCAACCGCTGAGCTATCACTTTCTCAGACAATTAATCTCCACATATGCATCACTTGCCCCTCCCTTTTAGATTGTAAGCCCTCAGGGGCAGGGCCCTCCTCACCATCTTGTCCTGAATTGTATTGTGATTCTAATGTCTTCCTTATATTGTAAAGCGCTGCGCAGACTGTTGGCACCATATAAATCCTGTATAATAATAATTCAAAAAGTTGCATGAAACACAAAAACAAGGCGCCGTGTCATCATAAATATAATTCCACAGCTCCGGTTCCCCGACTTTCCTCAATCCTCATATAATCTTCATTACAACTGCTCGAATGCAACTGGAACAAGGCAAAAGAAAGTAGATGAAATAAGTGAAACTGGGAGCTTGTGTTGTCCCCAAGATTTTGGCAAAATGTCATCAATTTTGGCAAACGAGACAATGGGGGAGGAAGGGGATTATAGTTGGTTTTTAAGGGTGCTATGGGCTTTGAATGGCTCCTGAGGGAAACCTGTCATGGACAAAAAATACTCAAATAATGATCAAATACAGAAAAAGGGGTAAAAAAGATAAAAGGATAATAATGCAGGTAAACACTCAGCGTGAATTCAACCATTTAAAATAAAAAAAAGTAATAAAAATCTGGCCCCGCCTGTCACAATGTGACTGTACAATCTTTTGGGTTTAGGGTGAATGGTACAAAGATGATACAAAACATAAAAAAAAAAAAAAAACTGAAAGAGGAAATTGTAAACTCTGTGGACGGTTTTGCAATCAGCTCCCAGCCTAATGAAATAAACTAACTGATGCCCCATACAATGTGATACAAACCGATCTCGTGTCACCCAGCACATGTTTAGACATCTGTGCAATTCTCGTCTAAAATTAGAGCAGACAGACTGAGCAGAGGTGATGCTGAGGGGTTGCTATCGGTTGCAGCAGATGGTCGCTATGGGTAACAGCTGACGGTTGCCCTAGCCGTAAGCCAGTACATCATTAGGCACATACATGACAAGTCATAGAATATTGGCCGTCCGGGCAGTCTCTCTTTTTCCATAGGGCTGTACTGACATATACAATGCTGCAGTCGGCACAACTCGTAACTGGCAGTAAGAAATACATAAATGACCCAAAACTGGTATTTCACATTTTGATGGATGCAAGAGAATTAAACCCCCTAACAAATTCTTTCTAAGTCTCGAAGACTATTTCTATGTCTCTATATCTGTACACCTGCTGTGCCCATTATGAGGGGCTCCCACCATCCCTGTGCTGAGTTCCCGGGTCTGTACACTTGCTGTGCCCATTATGAGGGGCTCCCACCATCCCTGAGCTGAGTTCCCGGGTCTGTACACCTGCTGTGCCCATTAAGAGGTGTTCCCACCATCCCTGAGCCCAGTTCCAGGGTCTGTACACCTGCTGTGCCCATTATGAGGGGCTCCCACCATCCCTGAGCTGAGTTCCCGGGTCTGTACACCTGCTGTGCCCATTATGAGGAGCTCCCACCATCCCTGTGCTGAGTTCCCGGGCCTGTACACCTGCTGTGCCCATTATGAGGTGCTCCCACCATCCCTGTGCTAGGTTCCGGGTCTGTACACCTGCTGTGCCCATTATGAGGTAATTTGTATTTATTTTACAGAATATAGAGTGCAATATTATGAGTGAGATGACCCCTAATATAGCATGAGGAGTGAGACTCCAAGATGAACCATCTCCAGGACCCAAGAGAAGCAGCAAGTCAATGGGTGACTCCAGACTTCCCCTACAGTTATAATATCACTTTTGGGTGAATTGATCCTTGCAGGGCAGCATTCAGAGAATGGGGCTCATTTAGGAAATGCAGATTACAATGATTTTCAGTTTCGAATAGCAACCAGACATCGCCATTCAGCAAACTAAAGTGAACAGATCTACGATTTCTGTTTTTGTTTTTTTTTTCTGTGGATTAGAGCTACAGCGCTGTCTGTATTAGCTGAGGCACCAATCCATCCAAAACCAATATTCCAGGTTTTGGAGGCAGCAGAATTGCTTATTTTCTGTTAGCTCTAAAATCCGCTCTATAATGCCCACCGTAGGCTGGCAGCTACAGAGCTCCCATTGCTGTAGATTTGAAGCTCTAGAGATCTCAGTGCTGAAATCCCAGTTAGTTGTAATAAGTTGGCACGTGAAACGACTCGCCAGCTTCTGCCAAGGGCAAAAATATCAGTTTTGGGTGGTCTGACCCTTTAAACGATTCAATTATAACCGTTACTCTGCAATTTGTCTCCTCAGAATTAGTCCCGGTTTCTTGTCCTTATTCTTTTGTGATTCTTACAAAGAGATCACCAGAGACTCTCACTTGTTGGTTACTGTCACTCTGAAATTCTCGCGCACGAGACAGAGAGAAAGAGGGAGCGAGAGAGAAAGGAGAGAGAGAGCAAGAAGGAGAGGGGGGGGAAGAGAGAGAAGGCGAGAGTGAAAGGAGAAAAAGAAAGAAAAGAAAGAAAGAAAGAAAGAAGGAGAGACATAGGAGAGAAAGAAGGAGAGACATCAAAGTAAGAAATAGGGAGAAGGAGCGAGATAGAGGGAGAAGGAGCGAAATAGAGAGAGAAGGAACGAGAGAGAGAGAAGGAGCGAGAGAGAGAGAGAGAGAAAGAAGGAACGAGAGACAGAGAAAGGAGTGAGGGAGAGAGAAAGACAGAGCGACAGAAGGAGCGAGAGAGAGTAAGAAGGAGCAAGAAAGACAGAGAAAGGAGCAAGAGAGAGAGAGAGAAAGAAGGAGAGACATGAAAGAGAGAGAAGGAGCGAGAGAGAGAGAGAGGAGAAAGAGAAAAAGAACGAGAGAGAGAGAGAGAGATAGGAAGAAAGAGAAAGAAAGAAAAATTAAGAGAGCGAAAGAAATAGAAAAAGAAAGTAAGACAAAAGGAAAGATATAATGGAGAGAACATTGAAAGGGAAGAGAGAGAGATAATAAAAGAAATGACAGATGAGAGAGAGAGAGACAGAGATATAATAGAGAGATAATAGAGAAATGACAGATGAGAGAGAGAGAGAGATATTAGGATTTCATGGAGAGAGAGCTGCAGGGTTACATTACAGCTGTGTGTAGTTTGCATTGAAGTGACACATTCTGTTCTCCTTGTTATCATTTCTCACTTCTAATTCATACATATCATCTCTACCACCGTGTGAACTGCAAGAGACTTGTACTCACCCACGCACTCGTTGGCTTCCCTTGCGGTCGCCCTCTGCCAAGGTCTGTCATAGTGGAAAGGTTTGCAGCGGTCGCACTCAGGCCCGGCTGTGTTGTGCTTGCAGTCACACACCAGGTTGTCGTCCCTGTCCTTGACGCACCTAGACGCGTGCCCGTTGCACTTGCACCGGCCGCCAACCTGGAGGTCAGAGACGGCATAGAAATAGGAGTCCCTGGCCAGCTCCGAGTCGTCTTCGTTCTCGTCTCCAAAGGTATGGAGGCGGCTAAAGACCACCTTGATGTCTGTGGCGGTCACCCAGTCTTGGAGCACCGGGGAGTTGTCGAAATCATGGGCGGACGGTCGGCCGTCCAAGGTGCTGAAGGCGATCAGGCCACCGGACAGCGGGTGCATGTCGGTGTGAGAGTCCGTGCAAATAGCCTCCTGCTCGTTCTGCTTGGTGATCACCGCTTTGTTGGGTTTGTTGTACATCTTTCTGCACTGGGTGGAGTAGAACTGAAATGGAACCCAGGACTTTCCATAGTCCATCGACTTGAAGATGGCCATGGATTCCGGACGGGGAGAGCAGAACTGCAAGCTCACGTAAGTCACCTCAAACTTCTTCCCTAGGGAAAGCGTGAGGGTGACGTTTTGAGGGTACTGGATGTAGTTCTCCGACTGCCAGCAGGTCAAATTGTGAGGATTGTTGAGGTCAGTTAAAAAGGACGGCGGGTGAGCTTTTTTGGGGTCGGAGGCGTTGCATATGTGACAGTTCCGAAACTTCTCTTCGCCTTTCTCCGTGACCACGCAATATCTCGAAGGGTTCTTGCCGCAGATACTGGACACCTTAACTTCCTTCCCGAAAGCGGAGTTAACAAAGTCTGGGATACACCTCCTCGGGTTCCCGTTCTCGTCATAGCAAGGGTCCGGCTGCGATGTCTGGATGGAGAACATATTCATCCCGTAGCCTCCTCTACCTTCTTGAGCGGTACAGCACAAGGAAACCAGCATCAACATCGCAATGTGCCCTCTCAGCATCATCCTGGATCCAGCTTAACCCTGCCTCGTCCACAGATCTCTCCTCTGGCGGCTCCTGGCAAAAACCGAGGACAGAAAGGGGGAAAAAAAAAAAAGACAGATCAGAAGGATAAAAAAAAAACCCCATAAAAACAACAAATGATATAAAATATTTAAGTCACCTAGGAGTTACTAAAACAGATGGTAAAAATAGCTAAAAACAGACTAGCAACCAAAATCAAACAGAGATGACATCACTTTTTTTTCAGAAAGGTTCCAAAAGAGAGACAGAGAGAGAATTTACTAAAATTTCATTTTTTTTTTGATGTGCAGAAGCAGGTGAGGAATTAAAAAAACAATTGTAAATGACAACATAAAAAGGTATTTTTCCCAAAATAGAACAAAAACAAACAAACGGAAAATATGTCAAGGCTTTTTGCTTGGGAGATACAATTCTACTGGAGAGAAAATTCTCACCTAGAAGAAAGCATTCTGTGTTTTTAAAGTAATTAAAGGTTAAAAAAAAAATTAAAATGCGCTACCTTAAGAGTGAATTAAGGAATTGCAGGAAGAAAAAAAAAAAAGGGAATAGGAAATGTTATAGAAGAGAAAAAAAAAAAAGTTGAGAAAAAGTTTTGTTGGTAAATCACTGGCAGCAGTGCCGGGGGAAGCTGATGTGAAAAGTGCTCAGGGAGACAATTTGGAGAATGAAGCGTTCCATCCCTTCTGTGCACAGATGACCAAGCTTGCTGGACTGTCTTCCCCTGGCTGACTATAGAAAGTGAATGACGCTCGCAGTGTGTTTGGCTTCAGGTCATCTCAAGGAGTGACACTGCATTAGGGGGAATTACAACGACACCCACTGGTTGGAAAACCACACTGGGCAGGAGAAGCTCTGCACATGCAGGGGAAGGAGGGGAAGGGAGGTGGGAGAAAAGGCA